GTTTAGGTTTCTGCCCATCTTTTGATGGGGCTATTTGTGTATTTTTGTTATTGAGTTGTATGAGCTATTTGTACATTCTGGAAGTTAAGCCCTTGTCAACTGCATCATTTGTAAATATTTTCTCCCAGTCCATAGGTTGTCTTTTCCTTTTCTTTATGGTTTCCTTTGCTGTGCAAAAGCTTATAAGTTTAATTAGGCCCTATTTGTTTATTTTTGCCTTTACCTTGGGAGACTAACCTAGGAAAACACTGCTACAATTTATATCAGAGAATGTTTTGTCTATGTTCTCTCCTAAGAGATTTATGGTGTGCTGTCTTAGTTTAAGTCTTTAAGCCATTTTGAGTTTATTTTTGTGTATGGTGTGAGGGAGTGTTCTAAGTTCATTAATTTATATGTGCTGTCCAGCTTTCTCAACACTTTTTGCCAAAGAGGCTGTCTTTTCTCCATTGTATATTCTTGCCTTCTTTGCTGAAGATTAATTGACTATAGGTGTGTGGTCAGCAAATCTTAACTCTTAACCATGATACAGTATTTCTTCTGTGGCCAAAGCATTTAGCCATGCATTTCAGAGTGAATCTTGTGTTTGCCTAGCTGCTAAGGAGGTCTGGATAGTCTTCCTGAATTCACTATTCAAAACTCAGGACCGCTCTTGCTATGAAATTTGTTCACTGGCATGAGGTTTCTGGTAACATTTTCTCATGCCTTCTTCTTGTCTCCTTGTCATTTATTTGCAGGACTTTGCTTCCTTCTGCTCAAGTCATAATCAGAGTACTTTTCCTCCTTGCTGAATTCATAAGTGGTTGTACGAAGAGAGGCTGGTGCAGGGCCAAGTGACTGACAACATGCCACTCGTTTGGCAAGTGAATGTCAAGTTGGTGTATCGCGTTCTGCCACTGGCAACTCCCACCAGGGACAGGGCCATCAGTCGGCTCCCTGAGGAGCTGGCACAAAAGCTGCTTTAGTCAGAGCAAACCTGCGGGCCCAGGTCAGCCCCCTGGAAATAGGGGAACAAATGCCAAATGCCATTCAGGGGCACATCTGCATTGCCAGGGAGAGCTGGGGGGTGGCCTGCCCTATATCCATCATTGGGAAAATCCATCCTTCTCCTGAGTCTCTTCCAAGGCTGGCTTTGTGGAGATGGATGCATTAACTTTTTAATAGGACGAGAAAACATTCTCACACTAGTGCCACAGGAGTCCATCAAGATATGTGAGAATTGGTGTGTCTCAGTGGAGGATGCCTAGAAAACAGGATTCCTGACCACCTTTGGGTCCATTATTCATAGCCCACAAGCATATTCACACCCCATCAGGACTTCGCCAATGGTCAGGCTACAAACAGAGAGGCACCATTGACAGCAGGCTGGGATTTTAAATGAGCACCCAGGATAACTGAACATGATCAATGGCTGAGGTGTTTCACCAAGTTCAGAAGTCCTAATTCTCAGAGGAAGGCAGGCAGCCATGACTGTAAGATCCAAGAAAACCATAAAAACCTAGGGGCATGTTTATCCTCTCCGTGGAAGAGCCACAAAACATAGTAAGATGTGAAATGGCAGAGGAATGACGTGGGTGAGATCCTCAGGGCTGCTAAGAGTCTGCAACAGGACTGGGTAGGCTACCACCAGGAGGTGATCTGGAGAAAGGGTGGGGAAGGCAGCTATGTTCTCAGTGTTTGCTGGGTCTTCTACACAATAGCTTCCAAACTCGAAGAGCTGTAGGAAAGAGCATGCCAGCAGCTTCTGCTCAGAAGAGCTTTATAGCTAGATGACCATCCCAATACTGGCCAAAACCATGTCTCTATCACACATCATAAAGGCTCTAAGAATAATAATCTGACCTCTGAAAGAGTGTCAGAGGGGAAGAAAATACAGAATCTTGGCCATCTAGGTTCCTTCTGTTCAGTGACTCCTCCAGAACACAGGAAAGCAATGAAAACACTCAGAACCAATCTTGACTTCTGAATTTTAAATACATGGAATCCATCTCTTCCCACTCAGTCACTCCCTAGAGTAACTAACTCCTTTCTCTAAAACACACATACTCCCCCACAAAAGCACAACTGTGATGAACACTTCACCAGCCTTCCTAAAACCCATGTGCCTTGTGACGTTAATTCTGTCACCTAAAGGAAGAGACAAGACAAAATGCAAAACCAAATGGAAACTCTTCCTTTGATGATTGGTTCTGAACAGTAGATTCTGTACAAAACCCAACAGTCAGGCTTTGCCCTAAGAAGTACCAACTCTTGTTTTAAAGAAGCACTTAAGAATAATAGCCACACTGATGCAACACTACACTAAGGAAGAATAATGCACCTAATAAAACTAGCGATTTTCCGATTGCTAATGCTACCGGAAACACTGATTATGCTAATTAAAGGGTAGAATAGTAAATACCCACTCTTTTGCACCCAATTAAGTGCTCAGATTGCCTCTCAGAAGTGTTTGTTGAAAACAGCACTTTTGATTATCATAGGTCCCAAATAAACAGAGTCAAGTGAGTGTGTGTGCGTGCACATCACATACACATTTCTCTTTGGAGCTCATTTCACAAAGCAGCGTAAATCCTAAAACTCCTACGGGACCAAGCAAAAAGAATCATGGTTTCCTAAGACTACAGCTTTGGAATATCTTTCTCATCTTTCATTTACTTTATTATTTTATTTTTATTTTTTGTTGGGGGGTAGGTAGTTAGCTTTTATGTATTTATGTATTTATGTATTTATTTAATGGAGGTACTGGGGATTGAACCCAGGACTTTGTACATGCTAACCATGCACTCTGTCACTGAGCTATACCCTACCCCCAGCTTGGGATATCTGTAAGGAAAGTGCGTGTGTTAAGAACACAGCATGAGAAAACAGTTTCAAGTTGGGAACATCTGAGATTTAACATGTAAACAGCAGGATATGCAGGGCTGCCTAAGTCCCTCACAATGTCATTGTCAGCTTATTCTAAATAATAAAATAGCCAAACTATGTTCTACACAATGTTAGAAATTTCATCCTTCCAGTCAATTCCATACTTCAGAGTAAAGCCAATTTATATGTAAGTTAAACAAAGTACCATCATTAAAAGCTAAGAATTAGGTCTAATGCCAATCAGAAGTGCAATAAATAAATATTAGAGGATTTGCAAGTTAAAGCAACCATAGAAATTCTATTATCAGAAAGGAAAATGTGTTACCTGTAGAGGGTACAAATAAGATGATAGAACCGAAAAGAGAAAACATTTCTGTAAGTATTTCCATAAGTTAACCAAGAGTGAGAATAGAATGGGTTTTGCACCCCTAAAAGGAGATATGATTCATGCATTCATTCAACACGCATTTAATCAGCCATCAGCACTGACTCTGAGCCAGGCCTGTTCTAGGTCCCAGGAAAAGTGCAGTCAACAAGATCAACACAGCTCACCTTCTAGAGGAGGGAACTAGATAGTAAAAAAGTAAGCAAATTAAGATAATTTTAGATTAGGAAAAGTGCTTTGGAGAAAATAAAACAGGATCACACAATAGAAAATGAATGCTTGAGGGCAGAAGGGACAGTATTTCACCTATAGCTGTGGACAGCAGAGCTCCTGGAATCTTGCAAAGTATTTCTTAGGTCAAGCTTCCTAAAAGCAGAGCCTGAGGCAGGGATGCGGTGCATGTAATGTACTGAGGGAGAGCTCTCAGGAGATGGGAAAACTGACAGGGCAGGAGAAAGAGCTAAGTGAGACGAGACCCCATATGGAGACCAGCATCAGCCTGATTCCATGGGAAAATCTGGTGCATGAATTGCGCCCCCACGTTACACCACCCTGAGGCCAGGGAGCTGGCTTTTTGTCCTCCTGTCAATCACTGGCCATGGGCTGCTGGGGATAGAGCAGTACAGGATACCTGCCCAGGTGAGGCAGGACTTGACCATGTGGCAAGGGAATTCTCCATAACATAGGGCAGCTGAGAGACATTAGCAGGCACCCTCGCAGAAATGGGTATGAGTGCACTGGCCCAGTAAAGGGATCTGGGTAGGGCACCAACAGCATCCCCTACAACTTGAAATTCCTTTCCTGTTTCTCTTTCTCTCAAATGGTACATGGGAAGTTTTAGTATTACACCTGGTTATACTTTTCTGCTCATTTGTAGGCCAGATAGATACCCACAACCCAGGTGCCATTATCCCACAATTCTTCTCCATAATTTATTCTCTGTACCAGATCGCACCATTGCACCAGCACCCTCTCTTAGTTCTACTAAAATTAATGAACTTTAGAGTGTTTTTCAGAATACCTACATCTTAGATGATACAAGAAGTGTCACAGAATAGCTCTCAAGTTAATAGCTGAGATGAAGGGAAGTACTTGCTCCCCAGATAAGCAGGTCAGTCATCCATGAAACCAGAAATCTATCGAATGCTTACTCTGTGCCAGGTCCTGGTTGAGTTGCCACTTTACAACAACAGAAACTATTTAGTGGGATGTGTCCACCTTACTGTTAACTCGTTGGTGAGTGCCCATAAAATTATTCTCTTTCCTAACAATTTTACCAAGCTTTGTCAAAAACCACCTTTCTCTTGGGGAACAAATCACTTAATATTTTCATGACTTTGAAATCACATATATTGTTAAAACAGGCTCCTTTTCAGTCTGAAGACTCAGGTCTGCTCACGGTAAAACCTTCATCTTATATCCAAGTCAAAGCCCTGCTACTCAGCATGCTCCCTACCCTCACCACAGACCCTGGAGCAGAAGGAATATGACATGGTCTACTCTCTCAGGTCCCCCACCCCTCTTTCCCTGGTTTACTCACTGGAGACAAGGAGAGGAAAGAGACGGCAACTCCTCTTATGAGAGCTTGCAGGGAGGTCGTGGCCCTTTTCCTGTTGGCTGTAATCTACTGCCCTGCCTCATTGCCTATGGCGGGACATAGAGGGTGAAAGTCACTGGGCTCCACTGACAAGGGTCTCAGGGTCAAGCAGCAACCCCCAGCCCTGCCTGGGCCTTACAAGACTCAGCCACATTTCATGGCTGACCCACCCCATTCCTCTGATGTAAGGAATCCCTTCCCCCCTGTTGCAGCTGTTTCTGCCATGAATGGAGCCCCCAGTCTCACCATCCTTCTACAGACCCCAACCTTGAGGTCTACAGGCACATTTCAGACACACCTTCAGTGCCCCTCCAGAGACAGAAACTAGAGGAAATCATCATTGCTCCCTCTTCGCCTGACCATGCCGTCCAGCCCCAATGCTCTTTGTTCCTCTCCAGGAAAAATAAAAGCTAAGCTCACTGAACACTTCCTAATGTGCTCTACATGCATTTAATCCTCAAAACCACCCCACAGGGTGGCATTAACATCTCCATCTGACAAATGAGGAAACTGATGTGGAGAGCATCCAAGTAGGAGAGAAAAGATAAACCCAGGCAATCCAGCATCAGGCACACCTTTAACAGCCCTTTGTCCGCCTCTGGTTGGGTCGTCAAGCCCAGTGTCTGGGCAGATATCTGCACAGGGAGTAAGATGACAGTCTCCCCTTATTGCAAACACCCCTGAGGTTTATAAGCATTAGAGACAGGAACCAGTTGGGCAGATTCTCCCCTCTCCAACAGCCCCAGAGGAAGTCCCCAGATCTCATCTCATTGGCTCTGACTGGGACATGGATCCAAGGCTGAACCAACTGCTGTGGCCAACAGATACAGTATCTCCTGACTGGCCAGGCCAGTGCCACAGCCCATCTGTGAAGTCTGACATGGAGCCAGCACATCCCAAACCAGGCAAGGAGTAAGAGCAGGGAGGAGAGCTCCAGGGGAAGTCAGGTGCTCTGAACCAGCAGACTGGGGAGTGGGTGCTGACAGGCAAATATATTAACGGTCCATTGCACACATCGGGGAAGGCCTGTGGGTGGCTAGTTATGTCTAGAGGCCAAAACACGGTGCCCAACACTTTATCTTAAAGTTACCTGGATTAGTCCTCACAAAAATCCCATCATCAACTTTTTGGCATTTTACAGGTAGAAATAGTGAAGCACTAAGAGATTAAAGAACTCACTCACCATCGCCAACTAAGAAAGTGCCATTTTTCCTCCATTCTAAGGAATCTTTTTTTTCATTTTGCCGTCCCAGAAGTTGGAATGCATCTTCGAATTGCTGGAGTGTTGTGGTTACATTGGCAGCATTTTTCTTCATAGGAGCCCATAAAATAACGGCACATCTCACAACTAATGGTGTTTTAGAGTCCATAAGATCCTGGTGACACCAGGAATGAAGCCCAATCCTATCTGACTCCAAAGCCCACATGTTTCCTATGCCTCTGGACTAGGACAGGGATGCTGACATGTTGGGCTTTGCACATTATGAGAAAGACATGAGAAATGACCCTGATGGGATTTTCTTCTTGCCCTTGCAGGGAAGGAAAACAGCGTCATTCCACTATCCTGGGGGAGGCGCCACGTACAAAGGGGAGGCCGTCCAGCGGTCCCTGGTGGAGTCATACACCCACCCGAACAGCAACGAGACAGAGTGGAGGGAGAACACTGATATCGTCATGAACTGGTTCACCAAGGAAGACTTCGACTTCGTGACTCTGTACTACGGAGAGCCAGATAGTGTGGGACACCGCTATGGGCCTGAGACAGAGAACAGGAGGGTGATGATTCAGCAAATTGACAGGACCATTGGGTACCTGGTGGAAGCCATTGAGAGGTACGGCTTGACAGAGCACCTCAACGTCATCATCACATCAGATCATGGCATGACCACCGTGAAAAAGAAGCCCAATGTCACTGAGATCCTCCTGACCAACTACATCAGTTTCCAGGACTTGGTCAAGTTTGATATCGTGGACTACGGCGGTTTTGGGATGCTCCTGCCCAAACCAGGGCAAGAGGAAGTGATGTACCAAGCACTGAAGAATGCACACCCTCACCTCAATGTCTACAAGAAGGAGGAATTTCCGAAACACTTCCATTTTGCCAAACACGAGCGGGTCCTGCCAATTGTGATGTACGGTGACTCTGGTTATAGCATCAGTGGGGTAAGTAGACTCTAGAATGAGTACCAACAATCTTGGATCTGGGAAGCAGCCACTAGGGAAGGACAGGTCTGAAAAAAAATCAAAACATAAGTGTATGCATGATGAATTGTAACCCGGGGCTTTCTAAGTGTTCCTCACCCCCCACCCCACATCCCACCCAAACAACCCTGCCCCAAGTTACCATTATGCAATGATAATGACAAACATCCCTCACCAACGTTAAATGTCCAAAGCTGCGTTAAAAATTCAATATGAGTTACTTCATTTTTTATTCCCAACAACTCTAAAGATAGATGCTCTTATCTCTCCATTTTAACAAGGAAGAAACAAAAGCTAGAGAGAAGTTATTTGGGATTAGAAGTATAAGGCCTATGTGTTTGATCATTATGCACAGATCACCAGAAGATTCATCCAAAAAAACATCTGCTAGTTCCCATTTGCATATATCAAAAAAAGGCAATTCTATTCACAGAAAAATTTATGCACAAATATTCATAGCAGCATTACCAAATGCCCATCAACTGATGAGTGGATAAACAAAATAGTCTATCCATACAATGAAATATTATGTAGCCATTAAAAGAAACAAAATACTGATACATGTTACAGACTGAATGAACCTTGAGAACATGATGCTCAGTGAAAGAAGTCAGATACAAAAGACCACATACTGTATGATTCCATCTAAATGGGATGTCCAGAATACGCAAATCTATAGAGAAAAAGCGTTGGTGGTTGTCTAGGGCCAGGGGAAGTTGGGGGAAATGGGAGGTAACTGTTGAAGGGTACAAGCTTTCTTTTTGGGGTGATGGTAATGTTCTAAAATTGATTGTGATGATAGTTTCACAACTCTGTGAATACACTAAAAAATCACTGAATTGTATACTTTAAATGGCATTGTGTGGTAGATGAATTACATCTCAACAAAGCTATTATGAAAAAAATAAGCAAACCTAAAGAAGAAAATATCAAAATCAATGTTAATTGTGAGACATAAGTGAAGTGTTGCTGTTGTTATTTTGTTTTGTTTTTTTCGTTTAACTACCAACCAACAATTCATGGGAGAACAAAGTTTAGGTGATGTTTAAACATCACATGACAAAAGACCATCTCAGTTAAATCTTGAAGAATCCTTGTCTAAGGCTGTGGACAGAAGCCAAACATATTTATGTTTGCAATCTGTATACTCTTAGTTTGCTACAAGTCCAGAGTATAACAGGTATGGGAAAACTCATAAGGTAATTGTTTAATGTTGGTGGAAACATTCACAATAAAATGCAGCACTTTATTGGTATTTTGGAATCCCTCAAGTGGCACGGAGCTAAAGCCTTACCAAGGAGAGATTCCACAGTCACTGGCCTCTGTAAACCTGGTTCATGACGTAACATGTTGGGAGGCATGTGAAGACATTTAATGGAACAGTCACATTCCCAACGTGACCAACTAGGTAGCCTGAGGGATAGGATGCTGTGATCAGTTTAATCTGGCAAACGGACTGTTAGGCAGAAAATCCTCTGGGTCTCAACGCTCTCATGGAGTCCACTTCTCTGATTCCCTCTCACCTGCCTGCCTTGATATGCAGAGCAGAATGGGCATAACTCTTCTCTCTTCAGGAGTGAGGAGCTTGCAAAACTCATAAGGCCATCATCACTGGGCACTTGTTCTTAAAGGACTGCCTCATGGCCTTAAAGGCCGTGGGACTGGTTGTTTAGCCTGAACTAAACATACAGATCCTTTCTATATTTACCAAGCCAAATATGAGACCAACTTTTCATATACAATGTCTTACATGCCAGAATATCTGTTGTTCCTAAAAAATATATAAACAGTGCTGTGACTGATACAACCTCATCATTTGAAAAGGGGGATAGACAAAAACCTACTTGGCATTCATTAAACAGTTACCTACAGTCCTAACTCCCTCTTCTCTAATCCCTCTCCTCAAAAAAAAAAGTATATATACAATTTTGTGTCATAAAAAACATACCTAGCTCTAGAACCAGACAATCTGGGTTCAGATACCTGCTCCAACACTGGCTACTTCATGAGTCAGAGCAGTTTCCTCATCTGTAAAGTGGGGATGATAATGATAGTACCCTCACTTTACAAAGCATTCAGAGCGATTCATGGTTCACAGTAAGCCCTCTATGTTTGAGCCTATTATGATTATATTATTATCTTCTTGTTGTTTCTAATGGGCATGCTTTCTTTATTCCCTTCCTTAAAGTCTTTCATTCCTTCCCT